TTTTCAGCAAAAAAAAAAGCTCTAAGCCACTGTACACTATGTACTTGGCACCAAATTTAACAGCTAGCTGATGAAAATTTACCATTTAACAGCTTAAGATGATTCTCTTTTCCCTCGCCTCTGTCCCCCTTCCCTTGCAGGTGTTTGGAGGTTTGGTGTGGACCTTGGTGGCGACCTTGATAGGGACCTTGGCGACATTGGCTACTTCAAGTTTTCTCACCGATTGCCTTTTCGGATGGGTGGTGTTCGTCTCCGTCTTCTGCTTTCTATTTCAAACGCCATTGCATTGATTGATGTAAATGTCATTCTGAACCAGAGGTTTCTTGCTACCATAACAGCCTCCACCAGACATTCCACATAATTTTGGGTCTTGACTGCAGGGTTTTTCTCCTATTCAGCCATTGAAGAACTATTCACCCTGTACAAAATATCATTGTATGATGTGGCATCAAAATGGTGCAGCATGCAAGGGTGTCCACATACTTCTGGCATGTAGTGTAGGACACATCATGTCATTAACTGTTTACTGAACCCCATACCTGAAAGATAACATTAGTGACTCTAGCTGCTTTTTGCTGAATTTGGAGAAGTCACCCAAAATACTGGAAATAGCATTATATGTTATATTGTAATGTTAAAAGTAAAAATGCACAGTTGGGGAAAGTTTGTAAGCTACCTAGCTCAACACTGTGAGAACAAAGCTTTATTTGCATGTCTTCTACATTAGTCATTAGCTGGTGTGGATGCTAACTTTTTGTCTGAGACTTTAGTTTCAGTCTTTTGGGGAGAAAAAGTAAAGAACAAGTCTGACATTTTTGGCATAAAGTTATATGAGAAGATCAACCCCGCTGCTGTCTGTAACCTATGGCCAGAAACCAGTTAGCTTAGCACAGCACAAAGACTGGAACCAGGTGGAAAGCCTCTAGCCTGGCCTGGTTCAGTGCTAACAGCACCTTTACCTGTTAACTTACCTCAATCAGAACAAAATACAAACAGTAACTTCAGAGTCTTACAGGGAGTAGTTATAATTATTTTTTTGTGTTCTGATTAGGATCAGTTTGGTTTTTGCACACATTAAACATGAAACATGATTTGTTATTTAGTAAGTGTTAGAAGTGATAGTGGGCAGATTATTGGGCACAGCCAGGCTGTTTCCACCTGTTTTCAGTGTGAAGATGTTGAACTAACGCTGTGTCAGAAGAGAATTTCCCCAAAATGCTGAGCTATTCCTTTAGGACCCCTTTTAAAACAAGCTATTTGGAAACATTACCCAACATTACCCATTACTGTTTTCACCCAAACCCTGAAGCTAACCTTTGTTTAATAGTTGGCAAATTAAAAAAGAAAATGTTCCCTTCTGCCCTTCTTCCCTTTCTGTCTTTTTCACTTTCTACCCTTTGTTTCCATCTTCCTCACTGTCCCTCCCCCTGTGTAGGATGTATTTTATCATTTTGTGGCAGTTTGTTTCTACCTCAGGGCATCAGTGATTCTGGCATACTTCACTATCGGGATTGGATTGGGGCCATCTAATGTTGTTATTCTCAAAATCTATCGACTGGCAATCTCTGCAGTGGTATGATGTCAAACACACACACACAAACACACACACACACACACACACACACACACACACACAGATCATAACCAATTACTATATTTAAATGTATTACAATACTTCAAAATACTGTAAATCATTTAAGACAAACTACCAACAGCATTTAATGACTCTTTCAAATCAAATTTGTGTTATTTTCCACACAAAGTAACTTAATTAGTTACTTATATAGTCATTTACTTCCTTTTACATACCACAATGACATATTTTTTTTAAATTTGTTTTAAGAAAAGACTTTTAGATTTTTTTTTAATGTTTGACACAAGCAAAATATTAATCTGCCAGCAATTTGACAAATATAGTGAAATAAAAAGTGCAGTATTTTTCTCTAAGGTAAAATAATAAATTAGCAGAAAATGGAAATATTCAAATACCTTAAAACTGTGCCCTACTTGGATAAATGTACTCTCCACCATTGGTGGAATTCATAAAGTAATTCACAATAAACTGTTGTGCTTGCAGTAACTTAATCCATTTCTTCAGCATCTGACAAGCAGATATTACTGTAGGCAGTTAAAAATATTTTTTTACACTATATAAATGACTATTTTTTCTAGCTTTATGTAATATTTTTGTATAAAACAAGCATTTTGACAGTGTCACCTTGAGCTCCGGGGCTGGAGATTGGTTTTACAAAGACTGCCAAAATATTTACTAACTTAATAAAAAAAAGGCTTAGCAATTGATAATAAAATCGGTTGGCAGGTGCAGCTCTAATGCAATCACGCATAGATATTCAAGTTCCCGTTTATCTCCGTTCATGTTGTTTAAACCTGTGTGTTGACACCTGTGGCTCTATAATCCCTCTGTTCTTCTAATACATGATTTCTCTGTTTTCAGGTGATGTCCTTTTTAGCCACTCTTTTCTATTTCCTTCATGCCATTTTCTCTGCCATCCGATGGAAGAGGTCCTAAGACAACCATCAACCAAACCAGTCATTGAAGTAAACATGGAATTGCTTTTGGGTTTTTTTGTCCTTTTTATTTTCATGTCAGAAAGAGTAACAGTGCTAAAACATCAAATAAGTGGATGAATGGAAAATAAGAAAGTTACTGATGAATGTTACTTGTTTACTGCTCTGGTTAGTTAAATAGCTATAATGTGTCTTCTTTTTTTTAAAGGCTATGTTTTGATATAACCTACAGATGAAAACTTTCCCTGATAAATTGTTAGATTTTTTTTAAAGGAACTTCCAAAAAATTTGATGATGTAAATAAGAGATTTTGCTTCACAAGTATTTTTGAAATTAGTGATATGTAAATTAACAAATTGGACATTGAAACATCCTGATTTCTCTGGTTGTTCAGATGTTTAAAGAACCAACAAGTTGAGTAAAGACAATATTGACATAAAACTGTTATGTGTTGGGGGGAAGGGGGGGGGGACCAATGCGACCATTATCTGCACCATGAAAAGATCATGTGACAAATTATCCAGATGTGTCATTTTCAACTGTAAAAATATCCATTTTATATTATGTCTCAATTTTATATATCATGTTTATTTTACAGAGGGGAAAATAAAGCTGACTTGTTATGTTTGGAAAATCTTGGATTTTGACTTGAATTTAGAGCAGTGTTTAGTGATTTATTTGGTCACTTATGGATGGAGATGTAAATACAAGACCAATATAATATTCAGTTATCAAGCTGACATAGTTAATATGTCAGTAAACAGTTACCTATATGCTTGTGAAGATTAACCTTCACTTGGCCTTTCTGTCAATCTAGTGACTGCAAATCCAATATTTGCTCTCTTTTTAGTTCTAGTGTGGATTCCACCTACTCCTGAAATATAGTAGATGCACCACTATGTTCACCAGCTATTTGCTAATTTTGGCTGCCTTTCATTTGGTGCTGGACCAGCACTACACACTGGGTTTACCAAGCTTCTTAGCTAAGTGCTGTGACTGGAAACGAGGCCATGAAAGCAGTGAACAAAAACAGTAACACTGTGGGTCATAAACTCAAACCAATGAGCTGAAAAAGGATAAAATGCTGCTTGGGAATGCAGAGTTGGGTATTAACTGTGGGTATGTGACCACAAGTGACACCATTCACATTACATATAACCATGTCATTAGGTGTAGACATAAGAATATTGATTAGCACAGCTTTAAAGTGAAAATGTGTGGACCTGCCAGTGTCTCGAAATGGGGTGTTTTCACTCATAAAACTTATCATGAGCAGTTTGTTTTAGCCCATGTGTGTGGTACAAATAGAGGCTGGTGCTGAGCTTTAAAAAAAAAGCCTGAGGACCATAAAGTGTGTATAACCTAAAACTCACTGAGCTGTTTCTTTACTCAACAGCAACAATGATGTTATTTCAGCTGCCGTCGTTTTACTGTAGCCTGTAGGCACAAAATTCCTCTGGTTGTTTCAAAGTGCCTTCACAGGTCACTAGCTCACATTAAATACCTGGTATAGTAGCATGGGCGCTCTAAAATAAAGGGTGTGTCTGTTTGGTGGGAGCTCTTGTGGGATCTCAGCCACAACAGCGGAACAGGTTTGTCTGCTCATTTAACTTTCCTGCAGTACAAGGTCAGTAACACTTGCTGCTGCTCCATTAGTTCAGAAGAGAGGGCAGCACGCTCACTGCTGAGAAGGCAACAAGCAAAGATGGCTGCAAGTACCACTCAGGCTATGGGGACCCTGCCCAGCGGACTGGGGATATGCACCACGTTCCCAGATATATTTTACCTGCCTGAACTGGTGAGTGGGCAATGACAGAGGACAGAGCAGCTGACTTCATTAGTCATTAATGATTGGATTCTGGATCAATATTTGAAATTCAGCAGCTAATATTTTCAAATTATTTGATTTAAAATATTTTAAATACAATAAATTTTCATAAACCTCTTTCATAGACAACAAATTTATTTTGTTCAAATATTTTATATCTGGGCAGCACGGTGGCACAGTGGTTAGCGCTGTTGCTTGGGTTGCATAGGTTGATTGGTGTCTTTAAATTGCCTGTAGGAGTGATTGTGTGTGTGAGTGGTTGTTTGTCTGTGTGTTAGTCCTGCGATGGACTGGCGACCTGTCCAGGGTGTACCCTGCAGCTGGCTGGGATTGGCTCTGTGACCCCGTTTGGGACTAAAATGGATGGATGGATGTTTTATATCTCAAAAGAAAATCTAAATGATGCACTACACTTCCCCACCTCACTCACTGTCCCTCCTTTCCCTGACAGACTTACTCTTGTATGTATAGCAGCCTCTTCTTGCCTAGGAATCACCTATACATTCAACAGGTAATATGTTTAATCAGCAACACAGGTGACTTATCAGACCCTGTCCAAGTCAAAATAATGGTACTACTTGAATTATAAATGGTAAAAAGGGTCATTGCTCAGATCACATTTCACCACTTATCATGACAGAAAAACTTCATTAGAATCAAATTATCTAGCTGCAGAGGTTTCAAAATTCTTCCTTATGCTGTATCATTCCATCAGCTTCTAAACATTTTAGTTTAAAAAGACAAGATCAATAAAGGATAGCAACATTTCACCTGGATTAATAATTTTGCATTCTATTTTTAAAAATGTTGCCCAGTTAGACTGAAGGAAAAACATGCATGAAGGCCACGGATCATATGGAGGGAAATCCAACCTAATGAGCAGAAACTAAGAGTATCAGAACACATTTCTGCTGCTGGTAGGATTTCATGTCTTTAGGGGCTTACATCATGTGGTGGGACTGACTGACTTTATTGTCAGAGTGGGACAAAGAAAATAAGAGGCAGAGGTAAATATGAAGCTACACTGAGCAGCCAGTTAGCTTAGCCTAGGACAAAGACAAGAGACATGGGGAAACACCTAGCTTGGCTCTGGCTAACAGATACAGAATCCATCTACTGTACCAGCACCTCTAAAGCTGCATTAACTAACAAGTTATACAATGACATGTGCCAGACTTTTTCTTGTCTCAGGACAAGGCAACCAATAGAGAGAGACTCCAGGAAGTTACTGGTCCCAGCCAAGGTGAATTGCTATTTTTACATTTTGGATTAAACAAACAAGATCTAACATGTCAATCACTAAGCTTTAAAGGTGCTGATAGCCATTTTATTTAGTTTTATTTTTTAACTTTTGGACATAGACTATTTCCGCCTTGTTTCCAGTGGTACCGGTCTTCTCAGTCAGAAAGCAAATCCACTTGGTTTCCAAAATATCAGACTGTTTCTTTAAACTATGAAGTAAGATAAAAGCATCCTATTTAAAGAGCATTTTTTTTGGCTTGCGTGAGGGTAGCCTATGTTCTTAACTTATTCTTAGGGCAAAATATCCCATTTCATGTTCCATAAATTGGATATGAGATGTTTGGTTTATATTAAAGGGACATCCTGCTTTGTGCCACCTTGGCCCCATCTAAGCTGTGTACCATGTAATATCTCCTGAGTCTCTGTTTTCCTGTATCAAAACTCAACTACCTCTCAACAACTAAGACAAAAATGTATCAAAATATAATCTTTATATTTTTTATATAATGGTGTTTAAACATGTGCAAAGGCAGAAGTGTTAGTTTAAGGTCACTTCAGCACAAACAAATCGAAATCTCACAAATCCTATTGCCATTTGTGTAACTTGTCCCTCCACCTCTACAGGTGTTCGGAGGTTTGGTGTGGATCCTGGTGGCGTCGACCCATGTGAACCCCCCAAACCCTCTGGGCTGGGTGATGTTTGTGTCTGTCTTCTGCTTTGTCTTGACCACCCTCTGGATGATCATCTTTGCTGCTGGGGGTCATAAGAATAGCTCTGGCTGGGCTGCTGCTGTAAGAGAGCCAGAATGAATAGATCTGGAAATGAAACAGAGAGAATGAGTGATGGGCTGTGGCCATGTTGTAACATTGTCATTTTATCTGTGCGTGTCCAGGACTTTGCTTACCATGGTCTGGCTGCGTTCTTCTACCTCAGCGCAGGGGTGGCTTTGGCTTTTATCACCCTGGAAAAAAGAGATACAAACCCATTTCGAAACTACCAGATTGACATTGCTGCTGTGGTGAGAACTAATTTCAGTCAACTGTCCACTTTAAAACTCCACTTTAATAACAATGATCTACTGTATTTCTGATGTTCTTTAATTTAAGCAGCCATTTGCAGTTTTTTTTCACTCCCTTGAAAACAAATGTTCATATTAAATTGTTAACATGCCAACATTTTACTTCCAACAGCTACGATGCAGTTTAAATGCATATGCTTGTTCAATATTCTGGTGAACACAATGAAAAGACCCCCTCCCCCTTTGTCAGATGAGAAGATTGATACTGTTCTCATGTCTGTATGGTATATATGAAGCTACAGTGAGCAGTTGGTTAACCTATCTTAGCAGAAAAGCCTGGAAATAAGAAAGACTCGTTCTGCCCAAAGGTATAAAATTCCACCTGCCCCCCTTGTAGCTCACCAGTTAACCGGCTATACCTTGTTTGTTTAAATCAATGCAAAAACCAAAGTGTATGACTTCAGGAAGTCATTTCACTTGGCCTAGATATAGTAGAAGGTTGTCTCTGTCACGTGACCCTTGTTTTGTAGGTTAGCTTAGATTGGCATAATGGCTGGAATCAAAGGGAAAGACCATGCCAGCTTTGTCAAAAGGTGAGAAATATTTGGGCTTCATGTCGATTAAACAAACAAGATATAACTGAGGTATTTTGATAAGCTAATGCTAACCAGCTTCTTGCCTAATATTTACCTCACACATATTAAGAGTAGTATTGATTTTCTCACCTAATTCTTGGCATGAAAGCAAATATGTGCATATTCCTTTAAATGTGGGTGAATCAGAACAACGGCAACACAACACTTGTAGTGAATATTGCAGTCAGATCCTAGATAATGTAATGGTTGGATTTTTACTGTAGTCTGCGTGTCTGTGTCTCAGGTGTTTGCCTTCGTGGCCACGTTGTTCTACTTCATCCACACCTTCCTCTCTGCCATCCGATGGAAAAGCTTCTGAATGGCAATGCTGAATCACAGACCTGCGTGTCTACAAGATGTACCTTGCATCCTGTGTGCCCCTGTGTGTCCATGTGTATGTGTGGGTATGTATGGTGGAATTACCCACCTGGTCAGATACATAGTACCACATTTTGGGACATGTAATAATATTTAATGAAGGTTGACTGGGTGGGAACTGTGAAGAAACACCATAAACAGAACAAAGCATGCAGAACAAAACTGATGAATGAAAGCAAAAAAAAGAGTTGTATCCTAAAAATATCATGCTGATCTTATTCCTTTAAGGGACAGTTCATCAAAATCACTGAGAGACAAGCACACTATTTTCACTCACTCCTGCTGTACTGTATCTGGCGATGCTCCTAGATTCTGATTTAAATGAAACTGTATACAGTATGGTCTCTGGTTACTACTGAAACATCACAAATAAAACACCATTCACCTCTGTTGTACTGTTGTGGAGGCCAAAACATTAGAAATGCAGATCTGCAGGTAGTTGTAAAATACTTCTAATCTGTCCTATTAATTAATCAATTTTAAGATTTTGTACATGTTTTGAAAATTTGTCATTTACATTTAATGCCAGCCAATAGTATGCACAGGCTGGTGAAGTGAAGTTTTCGGTATTAGAGGTATTTTTACACTTTTGTATTTCCAAAATTAAAACAAGCTATAGATGTATGTCTAGACGACAGCTCTGCAAGAGCCGCTGCAGTCCACCTAGTTTCAGTGTTAGTCTTGTGCAAGTCTAAATCTAGTTACACATCGACTGAGGAGGTTAAATATTTACCTTGTTCATTTCAATATTTAAAGTTGATAAGCAGGATAAGAGTCCTGAAACTAATGTTAAGTACACTGGGGACATGTTTTCAGGATGTCTGCAAAGGATGAACAACAGCAATGGAGAGTTTCGAGAGAGACATTTTCAGTGACTCAGAAAAGCAGAGCAACCATTCATACTGAGTTTTGCACTTTTTGTTACCTCTTTTACATGCTAGCAATATGGCTCTGTGAATTCTGGTCCATCATTTTGGTTCATACTGAAATTGTGTATTGCAACAACTACTTGGTGCCAACATGAGTAGAATGATTACTGGCTAGAAATTATGTCAGAAAGGACAAAGGGATTTTGACAGTAGGGGAAAGTGACTCAGTTGAGCTGAGTGGAGAATTAAGAAAATACAAGAATTCCCAATGAGGCAAGTGAGAGGGAAAAAGCTTCATTAATATAACTATAGTCTTCAGTATCACAATGTTGACATCTCAAGGTGTAAACCATGTTACAAAAGTTCCCTGGAAACAGAAAGGCAAACAATGTGATTTCATTACTCATCTGTACTTTATTTGATACTGTATTTTGCAATATTTCCCTGTGAATGAAGTTTTTTTTTTTTTTTACAGTTACAAAGGAAACTTTGTTATCTAAGGGGTTAATATTTTACTGGGTGTATCTGCAGAATGTTTTCAAATGAGATGTCTTCAGTTGAGAAACACGTAACTTTAGTCCTTGGCTGACAGGACAACCACACATTTACAGGTTATTACCATATCCCAGTGTCAGACTATCCATCTGACACTCCTGGCCTCAGTCCAAACATCTGTCCTGTGGTCTGATCCCATCCCATTCCCACGCTACCAGACTGTGCGTTTGACATTTGCCCAGATTGAGCGTTTGGTTCCCTGCGTGGCTCGCACGTCCTCCAGGTGCAGCCGGGTGTTGAGTAACTCATCCTCGGGCTCGGGGGTGGGCCGTACCCCAGCTTTAGGACTTGCCACCACCAGGGGCAGCAGGCCTCGCTGCGACTGAAACTCAACGACGTGTAGCTGCTTCCTATCGGCCAATGTTTGGTGGGTTTCCTGCCGGGTGGGAAGAATAAGAGGCAGATATTAGAAGATGAAGAGAGAAGTTACTGAGGCTCCAAACACAGCTGGGTGACTTCTATAACATTTACTGTCTGATGGCAGAGAAGGGTTAGAGATAAAATGAGGAAAAGGAGTTTCACGTTTTACATTGGAATTCACCACCAATATCTGTACATGATTTCATGACAATCCATTCAACAGTTCAGATATTGCAGTCTGAGGATCCAGACACTGACCCATGTCACCATCTGAAGAACCATGCTGCTAATATGGAAATAGAGATGCAGCTGGTTTAGTGTTATCAATGCTTTTTTAATACTTACCTGAAACCAGAGTGACTAAGTCTGTATCACTTTAAAACATCATATCTTGCTGACGTTCAGAAAGTTCCTTTATAACCATCTTTGACCAGATGTTTTCTTACCTCCCTTTCAGGAAGCTTTGGTCAAAGTTCAATAAAGAAGCTCCTTTCCTCTCACTCATCTTTTATTGGGAAGTTCTGCTATAGCTCAGCTTTACATTTACTTACCCCATCAGTTCCTATTTTCCCATGCTGCCAAGGTTCTTTTCACTCATTATCTGTTGACACTGCATCTGGCCAATTACCATCTTCTCTGCCAGTTTGCTGAGTCTGCTCATTAAATCTCAGGCTGTTTCCATCATTCTGCCTTCTATGGCTGCACAGCCCACCTCCGCTCCCATCGCCACTTATCCAGTGATCCAGGTATCAAGGTCTATCTTCCTGCCCACCCACCACCTGGGGATTCATCCTATATTCTTCTTATCTCCTATCTACACTGGTCTACCTGTTTCTCAGCAGCACTCATCACTGGGTCCTTTTCTGTGATTAACTTCAATAAACATTTTTATGCACTCTCCACTGACCTCTCCTTATTGAGTGGCATGAAAGAGGATTTTTTTGTCTCTGACATCTTCACTCCACCACCTTTACAGGGGCTATTAAAACTATTACTTTGAATATTCTTCTAAAACAATTGTGTATGTAATCATCACAGGCTAAAATGATCCCCGTCACCGTGCCAACATGACCTCACCTGATTGACTAATCCCTTAAAGAGGGCCCTGGTGATGTTGAGGAGATTGACAGATCCCTCTACTTTGCAGTACATGTTCTGAATGCCGATCAGCTTGCATATAGTGATGACGGCCCTGTGGCAGTGCAGACCATAACCTGCAGGGAGAGAACCAATATTAATATTACCGTGACTATTTAGCATTCTCTGAATCATTTCAGTAAAGTCCGAGCACAGAGCAGACAAACACTAAATGGCTGCAGGTGGTCAGAGGTACAATTTTTACTTGTCCTCTAATCCAACTCTTTGTGTTTGTCATGCAACCAAACCTGCTCTGGATTCGACTCACACCCATGACCGTGTGGTTTTTGGTGTATCTCAATCAATGTGGACCGACCCAGTTCTGCCAGCGTGGCTCGCATTGCAAAGGTGAAGACTAATAACCTAAAGATTTTATTAGCCAATGCTAAGCAGGGTAACGTGAATATTTTAATGAATATTTACAGTAATTGTATTTAAATGCAACCTTCCCATCATTTGTACCAAATAACATTGTTAGTTTTAAGAAAACTTTTTCAGAATATTTTAGAAAATTATTCAGAAGTTCCAAGCCTGTAAACCAAAGTAAAAACAATTTGTTTATAATGTCATATTTCCCGACTAAAATGCTGAATGAATACCTTTGTTTTGTTTCTTCATGCGGAGTGTTGTCCTCTGAAACTTGGATTCAATGTCATGATAAACTGTTGGAAAGAAAAAGAGCAACAAGATCTGAACTACGCTTACTGGCTGTGGTGCAGGGACTTACAGAGAACAAACAGTCAAACTGATACATAAAACAGGCAAGATTATTCTACAAAGTCTCCTTATTTTCACGTTTGGTGCCAAGTGAAGGCACTTGTGTTTTGTTCCGGCTGTTGTCTCCCTCAGGCGTTTCTCTACCTGCCCACCAGATGTCCTCCCACATGCCAGTGTTTCCCGCTCAAGAGTTATTCAGTCACACACAGTCCCTGAGCGACAGCTGAGAACACTGTGCGGCCATAGCTTCAAGTTAAAATCCTTTTCTTGTGTTACATCACTTTAAAACATCCTGACAGCTGCCGTCCCTGCAGTCAATACACTTAGTGAATTAGATTTGTACCTGGATGATGCAACAACAGAGAGGAAGCAGTTATGAAAAGAAACAGTACAGGAGGTGGATGATTTGTTACTCAGAGGACACATCCTGCTGGGTGAAGAAAATCTAAAATGCAAAACCAAATATCAAGCACACACACACACACACACACACACACACACACACACACACACACCGTAGAGGAAGCTGAACATTTGCTGTGGTTGCAGGAGGTCCGGGCTGATTTGCGACAGCGTGTGTCATTTATATGATGTGTGACTCACAGAATCAAACAGCGACAAAGTCAGAGCAGACAGAAAACTCCTCCTGACACACTCTTTTGCATTCCTGTTTTAAGTTCTGTCTATAACTCACATTCAACAAAAATTCATTCAGACTTAAACCTAAAGGACTGAATATTGTTTGGTTGGTTGTTTTTCATGGTACCAAGTTCAAATGTTTTCTAATTCACTTTGTGTCCATTAACTTCTACTGAGCATCACAGAATATTCAGTAAGGGTGACAATGGCCTGAGTGAGTGAGCAACAAAGGTGACAGATGATCAATGACAAAAATATTCTAGAAACTATCAGATCTGTCACTAAATTTAACTTGACTTCAAACACAGCAACAAAAGTCTCAAAAGGATTGTCCTTTTTAAAACATTAGGACACAGAAGTAAACAACCAATCACACGGCAGTCCAGACAGGTTGCAGATGGTTGCACAGTGTGAGCTGGCATGCCAAAGGATTTGATGGGTTTTTTCTAACAACCTGCAAAAACTATAAATATACAACAGTGTTGAGCTCAGACTGGTTGGAAACATAAGAACACACACACACACACACACACACACACACACACACACCGACATGGGCACTGCTCATCTGATTCGGGGCCAAGCAGGAGGCTAACTTTCTCCTCTGGTGGGCATGGTGGAGGCTGACGACTCACACACATCGATTTTCTGGCTTTACTCTCCAGCAGCAGCCAAATGGAGTTTTGCAATAAGAAACTACAAGCGGTGCAATGTCACTGTCATAGCTTTCCTCATTAATCAATATTTTACATTATGTTGCTTGGATGAGTATAAGCAGGTGACATGAGGGGGGTGGTGCTGGACAAGTGCAGTGGAAGAGGGAAATAATTGTGGAGAGACACAGATGGAGAGAGTGGTGGAAGAGGGAAACCAGAGGAGTGGAAATAATAGATGTGTGAACTGGGAGAAGCTATCTGGGACGTTCTTAGCTCTCAAAGTAAAGTCCATATCATAATTTTCCACAAACAGTGTCAGACTCACAGTTGGAGCAGTTCTACAACTGAAACTGTCCTGGCTGAGTCATCAGAACAAACAGCTGTGTTCCCATCAACATCTGGTTCTTTGACAAAAACATCCAAGACTGTGCACCTAAAAATTAATGGTGCATTAACTACAGTTGAGCACGCCGTCTGATAAATCACTATAATCTATAATCACAATAATAATAATGTTGGAAGAATATGGCTTCTCCTCTATAGCAAAGGCCACTGGGACACATGGGTAATGTAGTATTTAGGGCTGATGGACAAAAAGGCGTTATAAGAAAAAAGCTATAGCATACTGTTTAAAAAAAAACTAAACAAATGGAAATTGGGAAAAAACACTGAGAACCAGCTGTATGTCCCACTTTGCAACCCCATTAAGGGGAATAAAGAAAGGAAAGGAAGTGAGCAGAGAAGATCTAGGAGGAAAAGTAAATGAAGGAGATGAGGTGATGGAAAGCACACACACACACACACACACACACACACACACACACACACACACACACACACAGTCACTTACTGGTATGGTTGTTGCATCGTTCTATAAAGTACAGGTAGTGGATGGCTCTGTTCTTGGCCTGCAGTTAACAGAAACACACACACACACACACACACAGAGCATTGTTTGTCAAAGGTCAGTATTTTGTCATCATAATAAACATTTCAGTTGGAAAGTTTAGTGACTGTTGTAGCAACAGACAAATAATCTTAATATTAAATGTGGTAATATTCATATAATTATTAGCACAAGGGACTCTCGATGAAGCAGATCAAAGAGGGTCTGGGGATTTGAATCAAAAAGTGCATTAGGTTAACGTTCCTGTGATTTTACTCATGCACTGACCAAACCTGTATTGAGGTTTGCTTTACTGCACTTTGTGGTCTTACCTTCCTCAGAGCTGTGGCTCTGTCTGCTGCTTTACCCAACGCAAACCCTGGAGGGAGGGAAAGGAGTCATTTTGAGAACATCTGAGAGCAGAATGAGCAGAGCCAGAGGAGGTCAGCATGACAGAAATTAAGTTTGAGAAGTTCATAGTATTATTTGCTAGTGGAAAAGCCGATTAAGTTCAGATTTTATTGTTTCACTGTTGTTAACTTAGTGGTTTGGGGGTTTGATACCTCACAAACTGGCAATTCTATTCAATTCGATTTACTTGTATAGTGCCAATTCACAACAGCAGTTATCTCAGAGGCTTTTATATAATTTAGACCTCACACTATTACAAGAAAACTCAACAAATGCCCTCTGAGCAAAAATCCCCTTTAACCTGAAGAAACGTGTGACAGACCCCAGCTGTCGAGAATGAGAAACTTATTATTCAGCATTTGGAAGCACCCTGAAACTGTCAAAATCATTTTTGGTTCTGTTTTCAGAATTCAAAAAGTGGTTAAAATCAACTTAACCTCCAAATTAAAACAACCCTAAATGTTTAAAACCTATTCATTAATGTGTAGACTAATTGTCATTCGCTGTAATGAGCAACGATCTACGTTTATCTTTCAGACAGATTCAGACCTGCTGCTCCGTTGCCATTTCCCACAGCGACCAGACACCTGATGGACCTCTTTCTGCCCTCCTTGGCCGTCATGTTGAACACATTCTTCACCTACAACAATCAAAAACACCAAACATGACTGCCACCACCAGCTGATATCAACAGACTCCTGTTGGGCCCGTGTGTCAAACATGTAATATATAACACACACAACACTGTGTGCGTGTGTGTGTGTGTGTGCGTGCGTTGGGCAATCCCTCATCTTACAGGTTAACATGAATATGTGTGTGTTGTGATAATGTATTATTGTGCAGGATAAGTCACAAATCATGTCCCTGATGTCAATATATCATTTCTGATCTTGTACTTATTGTCTAACGCAGTCACTCCAGTAAAGTTAGTGAACCGATAGGAAAAAAATAAAACAACAGATTTCTATAAATAAAGAATAAACAGACTGTGTGTGTGCATTGTCAATCCAGACCAGAATGCTTCCCAGATTTAAGGGAGTTTCACTGATCTGAGCACATCAACAGAGCACAGTCATCTATCACACACAGCTTGGTGCCGTCCCTTGCTCAGCCACACAGGCTGGCCAGCTACTTGCAAAACGGCAGCTACAACACCAGGGGGAAGTGTAGATACACCACGCAGAAGGAAGAGGAGGGGAGGAAGGGAGATGAGGTAAGTGGAAAAAAAGAAAAGAGGATGTAGGAGTTCATCAGAGAGGAGAGAGAAAATAAGCAGGTGCACAGGAAGAAACCCAAAGGTCAAAAATAAGCACAGAGCGAAAGAAGGAAAATGAGAGGAGAAAAGTAAATAATGAGTGAAAGAAGGAGAATGAGAAGTGAAGAAGAGGACAAGAGGGAGTTAAAGAAGAGAGAGCAAAAGACCCGAACACACAGCTGACACTTTGATCCACACCAGTGATGCAAGTGACAGAACAGTGAGCAACTTCAGCAGAGGAAACAAAGTCGGCTTTCAGCTTCTCTAGTTATCACATATTTCAATAAAGGGTTTATAATTTGACCGCAGGGGTCAGAGTGGCAGCAAACACTGAAAACACAGCCCTGTAGGACACACACATAAGGTCATGTCTTTCTATCATACTTCACATACTGTGTGGGTGGGGAGAAGGAAACTCTGCCTCAGCAAAGATCCGACCAGATGGGATCTCAAAATTCAACAAGTTATAAATTCTCATGTTTCAATGCAACTTGTAGCTACTTGCAGCCAGTTTCTATTAAAAGTGTGTTCAGCAGTGTTGGGATTTTAGGTGAGGATGCAGCAGTTTTGGCAGAGCACTAGCAGTGGAGCAGATGGGCCTGGGTTTCGTGACAGCAGGGCGGTGGGAGGATGCTTCTAGCTCGCTCGCACTCCTGTTTCATCTCATCCCCTCAGTCTGTTGCTGTGTCTCCCTATCTGCATCTGTCCACACACTGCAATGCAAGGGAGGAGCTTTCACCACAGGGAAGCAGAAGGCACTGCGAGAGCACAAGCCTCCGCCAACACAACACTCCTCTGACTTGCTGTTGCACAACTACACATCATTTCTTTCACTTGGATATTATGTTGATATCTTGCCTCTGCACACACCGAATAGTGGAAAGGGTTCATTTATTCCTGCACAACTAAAAAGATTTCTACAGAGGACAAATCCCTGTTGTACACATTCTATTTCACAGATTTACATTCTAGAATTAATATTTAAAAGTCCACCATGTGGTTTCACCAGCCACAATACGGTTTTAGAAAATTCTTAATTGTTTTTAAATGACCTTACAAAGATTTCCATCCCACTCTCATCATGTTTGGCAAGAAAAGAGAAGAGGAGCAAAAACCTGAAAATGCAGTTCTGAAGTTTATTAAGACTGCTGAGCAAAACAACAATCTTAATATTGGCTCACAAAACCATGTGAAATGACTCACAAGGCTGTGTGTGACTGTGTGGGTGAAGGAGAAAGAAATGACAAAAATAAGTTTAACTGATATTATTTTAAATCATATTCCACATGGTTCACACACTGTGAGGAGTTACTGGGGATTTACAGTGGGTATGGAAAGTATTCAGACCCCCTTAAATTTTTCACTCTTTGTTATATTGCAGCCATATGCTAAAATCATTTAAGTTCATTTTTTTCCTCATTAATGTACACACAGCACCCCATATTGACAGAAAAACACAGAATTTTTGACATTTTTGCAGATTTATTAAAAAAGAA